TATCAGATGGTTAAAAAGAAGGATAATGGATACTCCCTTTATCTGTAAAGAAAAGATGGCAAAGTTCTCTCACAAATTAATAAAATTAAAAATCATGATTGAGAATAAAATTCTGTTATTAGTAGCTGGATGGTTGCCAGTTTTCAACAAATAGTGATAACCACAAGTATTGTGTGAAATTACAAAACCTCCTCCCCCACCTCCTTAGAGTCCACTTTCAAATGTTGAGATAAGATCTTTACTTCAGAAGAACTTGATACTTTTGGTAACTTGGATATCTGAGCACATAATCATGATGCATGAGTTTACCTCTGGTTCCTGAGATCACAACAACACCTTCATTCTCTGTTTCTCCTTCTAGCAATCAGGTGGTGCTATCAAGTGCAGAGATGCTATGGAAGCAGAATGAATTCCTGTGACAGCAGTGTCAGAACCTTCCCAGGGGCAAACTCAGGATTTTGTGTCCCACACCCTGCCCATCATGATTCCTGACTGGGGTGAGTTCCAGGGGGAGGAACCTGAGGGCCTGGGTCTCAACAAGCCCTCACCTGTCCCCTAACACATCTACAGAAAGAAGTTAAGAAGACCCCTGAATGAAATATGGAGTCAGAAAACAACGAGCACTTTCTAGAAAGAAGTGAATGAAGGGCACCTCGGTGGCTCAGTTGGTTAAGGGTCTGCCTTCGGCTCAAGTCATGATCTCAGGGTTCCCAGGATTGAGCCCCACATCAGGCTCTCCACTCAGCAGTAAGTCTGAATCTCTTTCTCCCTCTGTGATCTCTCTTGCTTTCACTCTCACTCAAATAAATAAATAAAATCCTTTTTTAAAAAAAGAAGTGAATGAAAAGAGGGATTAAGTTTCTCACAGTATCTGTGCTAAATATTTTACACAGATTATTTTATTTAATTCTCAAAAGAGCAGTGCAGAATGGATTGAATTGGCCATGTGGGGAGATGGAGCCACCCTGACTTTTCAGCACACAACAACCATGAAACACTACAGTGATGACAGGAGGGAAAGGATAGCCTTATCTATGTGGCTTTGAAGTGACAAGATACTATGTGGCTGTCAAAAACCCGTTTTTAAAAGAATTATACATCAAGTTTACAAATTTATTAAGGGACAGAGCAAATTTCCTCAGGTGGGGCCTTGGTCCGTCAGCATTTCTAAAATTTCCAGGGGGTCCAGAACATGTTGCCCCAAGAGAGGACTTGATCAAGATGGAGGGCCAAAGGTAGAGTCAGTATTTCCAGTACTAATGCAGTCAGTATTTTTTTGTTGTTGTTTTACATTTAATAATGAGATTATTTATATAAGAATATAAAATGTAATTGTATATATAACACTTAATATGTTTATATATTTATATTTTCCCATCTAATACTACTATACTAATATACTAATACTAATACTAATACTACTCTGTAACAGCCTGAGAAAAAAAGAAAAACTAAAAAGCTACAATTAACCATAATGGCAATAGTATTTACCATGGAACAGGGGGTCTGCAAACTCTGCCCACACCAGGCAATCCCAGTTTTGTAAATAAAGTTTTATTGAAACACAATCTTGACCATACACTTACAAATCGTCTGTAGCTGTTTCCACTACAAAGACAGAGTTGAGTAGTTGCAACAGAGACCCATAAAGCCTAAAATGTTGACTATTTGGCCCTTTACAGAAGATGTTTGTCAATCATTGCCCTCAATGATATACTGTGAGTGACATTTATTTTTATTTTATTTTTTATATTTTTTAAAGATTTTATTTATTTATTTGACAGAGAAAGACATAGCGAGAGAGGGAACACAAGCAGGGGGAGTGGGAGAGGGAGAAGCAGGCTTTCCCGCTGAGCAGGGAGCCTGATGCGGGGCTCGATCCCAGGACCCTGGGATCATGACCTGAGCCAAAGGCAGACGCTTAATGACTGAGCCACCCTGGTGCCCCTATTTTTATTTTATGTTTCCCTATTTCTCGGTGTTTCCTCAGCAACCCTTGTTACATATCCATTCTCCCCATACTGTCTTTTTTTTAATTAAAAAAAATTTTTTTATTATGTTATGTTAATTACATACAACACATCATTAGTCTTTGATGTGGTGATCCACGATCCATTGTTTTCTTTAACACCCAGTGCTCCATGCTGTACGTGCCCTCCTTAATACCCATCATGGGGCTAACCCATACCCCATCCCCCTCTCCTCTAAAACCCTGTTTGTTACTCAGAGTCCATAGTCTCTCTCCCTCCAGTTTCCCCCTCTTCATTTTTCCCTTCCTTCTCCTAATGTCCTCCATGCTATTCCTTATGTTCCACAAGTAAGTGAAACCATATGATAATTGACTTTCTCTGCTTGACATTTCATTTAGCATAATCTCCTCCAGTTCCATCCATGTTGATATAAAAGTTGGGTATTCATTCTTTCTGATGGCTGAATAATATTCCATTGTATATATGGACGACATCTTTTTATCCATTCATCTGTTGAAGGGCATCTTGGCTCTTTCCACAGTTCGGCTATTGTGGACCTTGCTTCTATGAACATTGGGGTGCATATGGCCCTTCTTTTCACTACATCTGTGTTTTTGAGGTAAATACCCAGTAGTGCAATTGCTGGATCATAGGGTAGCTTGATTTTTAATTCTTTGAGACACCTCCACAGTTTTCCAAAGTGGCTGTACCAACTTGCATTCCCACCAACAGTGTAAGAGGGTTCCCCTTTCTCCACAAGCTCTCCAACATTTGTTGTTTCTTTCCCTGTCCATTTTTGCCATTCTTTTTTAAAGATTTTTATTTATTTATTTAACAGAGATAGACAGAGAGCACAAGTAGGCAGAGCGGCAGACAGAGGGAGAGGGAGAAGCAGGCTCTCCACAGAGCAGGGAGCCCAATGCGGGGCTCGATCCCAGGACCCTGGGATCATGACCCGAGCTGAAGGCAGCCGCTTAACCCACTGAGCCACTCAGGTGCCCCCATTTTTGCCATTCTAACTGGTGCAAGGTTGTATCTCAATGTGGTTTTGCTTTGAATTTCCCTGATGGCTAATGATGATGAACATTTTTTCATGTGTCTGTTAGCCATTTGTATGTCCTCTTCAGAGAAGTGTCTTTTCATGTCTTCTGTCCATTTTTTGACTTGATTATTTGTTTTTTGGGTGTTGAATTTGAGAAGTTCTTTATAGATCTTGGATACCAGCGCTTTATCTGTAGTGTCATTTGCAAATATCTTCTCCCATTCTGTGGGTTGCCTCTTTGTTTTGTTGACTGTTTCCATTGGTGTGCAGAGGTTTTTATCTTAAGGAAGTCCCAAAAGTTCATTTTTACTTTTGTTTCACTAGCTTTTGGAGATGTATCTTGAAAGAAGTTGCTGTGGGCGATGTCAAAGAGGTTACTGCCTATGTTCTCCTCTAGGATTTTGATGGATTCCTGTCTCACATTGAGGTCTTTCATCCACTTTGAGTTTATCTTTGTGTATGGTGTTAGAGAATGGTCGAGTTTCATTCTTCTGCATGTGGCTGTCCAATTTTCCCAGCACCATTTATTGAAAAGACTGTCTTTTCTCCATTGCATATTTTTTCCTGCTCTGTCAAAGATTATTTGACCATAGAGTTGAGGGTCCATTTCTGGGCTCTCTATTCTGTTCCATTGGTCTATGTGTCTGTTTTTGTGCCAGTACCATGCTGTTTTGGTGATTACAGCTTTGTAATATAGCTTGAAATCAGGAACGTGATGCCCCCAGCTTTGTTTTTCTTTTTCAGCATTTCCTTGGCAATTCAGGATCTTTTCTGATTCCATACAAATTTTAGGATTGTTTGTTCCAGCACTTTGAATAATGTCTTTGGAATTTTGATGGGGATGGCATTGAAGGTATAGATTGCTCTGGGTAGCATAGACATTTTAACAATGCTTATTCTTCTGATCCATGAGCATGGAATGTTTTTCCATCACCTTCAATTTCTTTCATGAGTGTTCTGTAGTTCCTAGAGTATAGATCGTTGGCCTCTTTGGTTAGGTTTATTCCGAGGTATCTTATGGTTTTTGGTGCTATTGTAAATGGAATCGTTTCTCTCATTTCTCTTTCTACAGTTGCATTGTTAGTGTATAAGAAAGCAACTGATTTCTGTGCATTGATTTTGTATCCTGCCAAATTACTGAATTGCTTTATGAGTTCTAAGAATTTGGGGGTGGAGTCTTTTGGGTTTTCCACGTAAAGTATCATGTCATCTGCAAAAAGAGAGAGTTCAACTTCTTCTTTGCCAATCTGAATACCTTTTATTTCTTTTTGTTGTCTGATTGCTGTGGCTAGGACTTCTATACTATGTTGAACAATAGTGGCTAGAATGGGCATCCTTGACATGTTCCTGAACTTAAGGGAAAGGCTCTCAGCTTTTCCCCATTGAGGATGATATTCGCTGTGGGTTTTTCATAGATGGATTTTATGAACTTGAGGAATGTTCCCTCTATCCGTATACTCTGAAGAGTTTTAATCAGGAAAGGATGTATTTTGTCACATGCGTCTTCTGCATCATTTGAGGGGACCATATGGTTCTTCTCTCTCCTCTTATTAATGTGTTCTATCACATTGATTGATTTGCGAATTTTGAACCATGCTTGCATCCCCTGGATAAATCGCACTTGGTCTTGGTGGGTGATCCTTTTAATGTATTGTTGGATCCTATTAGCTAGGATTTTGTTGAGGATTTTGGAATCCATATTCATCAGGGGTATTGGTCTGAAATTCTCCTTTTAGATGGAGTCTTTGCCTGGTGTAGGATTAAGGTAATGCTTGCCTCATAGAATGAGCCTGGAAGCTTTCCTTTGGTTTCTATTTTTTGAAACAGCTTCAGTAGAAAAGGTATTATTCTTCTTTGAATGTTTGGTAGAATACCCCAGGGAATCCATCAGGCCCTGGACTCTTGTTTTTTGGGAAGTTTTTGATCACAGCTTCAATCTTGTTACTGGTTATTGGCCTATTCAGATTGTCAATTTCTTTCTGTTTCAGTCTTGGCAGTTTAAGGGTTCCCAGGAAGGCATCCATTTCTTTCAGGTTGCTCAGTTTATTGGCATATAATTGTTGATAATAATTTCTAATAATTGTTTTTATTTCCTTGGTGTTAGTCGTGATCTCTCCCCTTTCATTCATAATTTTATTAATTTGGATCCTTCTCTTTTCTTTTGGATAAGTCAGCCCAGTGGTTTATCGACCTCATTAATTCTTTCAAAGAACCAGTTTCTTGTTTTGTCGATCTGATCTACTGTTTTCTGGTTTCTAATTCATTGATCTCTGCTCTAATCAATTATTTCTCTTCTAATGCATGGCTTAGGCTTTGTTTGTTGCTTTTTCTCTAGTTCTTTAAGGTGTAGAGTTAGTTGATGAATTTGGGATTTTTCTATTTTTTTGAGCATGGCTTGGATGGCTTTGACCATGGCTGTGGTCCCCCTTAGGACCACCTTTGCAGTATCCCACAGGTTTTGGACCAATGTGTTTTCAGTCTCATTGATTTCCATGAATTGTTTAAGTTCTTCTTTGATTTCCTGGTTGATCCAAACATTCTTGAGCAGAGTGGTCTTTAGCTTCCAAGTGTTTGAATTTCTTCCAAATTTTTTCTTGTGATTGAGTTCCAGTTTTAAAGCATTGTGGTCTGAAAATATGCAGGGAATAATGTCAACATTTTGGTATCAGCTCAGATCTGATTTGTGACCCAGGATGTGGTCTATTCTGGAGAAAGTTCGATGTGCCCTCAAGAAGAATGAGTATTCTGTTGTTTTAGGGTGGAATGTTCTGTATATATCTATGAGGTCCATCTGGTCCAGTGTGTCATTCAAAGCTCTGTTTCTTTGTTGATTTTCTGTTTAGATGATCTCTCTATTATTGAGAGTGCAGTATTGAAGTCTTCTACAATTAATGTATTGTTATCCATATGACTCTTTATTTTGGTTAACAGTTGGCTTATGTAGATATCTGCTCCCTTGTTGGGGGCATAGATATTTACAATTGTTAGATGTTCTTGTTGGATAGACCATTTAAGAATGATATAGTGTCCTCCTGTGTCTCTAACTACAGTCTTTAGTTTAAAATCTAATTTGTCTGATATAAGAGTTACTACCCCAGCTTTCTTTTGAGGTCAGCTGGCATGGAAGATGGATCTCCATCCCTTCACTTTCAGTCTGTATATATCTTTAGGTTCAAAATGAGTCTCTTGTAGACAGCATATGGATGGGTCCTGTCTTTTTATCCAATCTGCAACCCTGTGCCATTTTATAGGAGCATTTAGGCCATTCACATTGAGAGTGATTATTGAAAGATATGAATTAATTGTCATCATGTTGCCTCTGAAGACCTTCTCTTTATAGATTGTCCCTATAAATTTCTGTTGTATATGACTCTTGCGGTCTTTCTCCTTTTATAGAACCTCCCTTAATATTTCTTGCAGGGCTGGTTTAGTGGTCACATATTCTTTCAGTTTCTGCCAGTCTTGGAAGCTCTGTATCTCTCCATCCATTCTAAATGACAGCCTTGCCAGATAAAGTATTCTTGGCTTTATGTTCTTCTTGTTTAGTTCCCTGAATATGTCTTGCCAGGTCTCTGTGGATAGGTCTGATGTTATTCTGATGTTTCTCCCTCTGTACATAAGGAATCTCTTCCCCCTAACTGCCCCTAAGATGGTTCCTTGGTTCTAAGATTTGCGAGTTTTACTATTACATGCCAGGGTGTTGGCCTCTTTTCCTTGATCTTGGGAGGGGTCCTCTCTGCCTCTAGGACATGAGTGTTTGTTTCATTCCCCAGATTATGGAAGTTCTCAGCTACGATTTGCTCAAGTATATCTTCTAGTCCTCTCTCTCTCTCTCCACCTCCTCCAGGATTCCAATAATTCTGACATTGGAACTCTTCATGGTGTCACTTATTTCTCTGATTCTATTTTCATAGATTCTGAGTTGTTTTTCCCTGGCCTCCTCTTTTCCCTTTTTATCTATTAAATTGTCTTCTAGGTCACTAATTAATTTTTCTGCCTCGCTTACCCTAGCTGTTAGATTATGTAGATTAAATGGCATCTCATTGATAGCATTTTTAAGTTCTGCCAATTCAGCTTTCATTTCTACCTTTAGAGACTCTATGTTGCCATTAATTGATTTCTCCATTCTAGCCATTGTCTTCACAATTGCTAGCCTGAATTTCATCTCTGACATCTTGGTTATATTTGCATCCATTTGTAAATCTGTGGCATAAGTCATAATCTCTGAGTCTTTCCTGTTTGGGGGGTTCCTCCTCCTAGTCATTCTTTTGATGGGTGGTTGAGGGAATGTATAGAGTACAAATTATTGACCACAACCCAAGCAAGATGCACTTGTTTTCTAGGGACCTTAAGGTTGCTGACCTCTTTTTCTCCCAGCCTGTCTTCTGGGGGAGGGGCCTGCTGTGCTGTTACTCAGGCAACCCTGTTTGGGCAGAGTTGCCCTGCCCCCTGTGGCGGGGGATGTGCTCTGTGGGAAATGGTTTTTTGGGGCTTTTGTTCTCTTGTGGCTTTCCCTGGAGGCTTTCCAGGTCTCTTCTGAGAGTCAGAGCAGAAGAGACCATTTCCAACCCTCTGCCTCAGAGCAGAGAGATTGCACTCTGTTGTTCAGTGAGCTCTCCAGGCCACGCTATCTCTGTTTCTTTTTGTGCTGCTATAAATGGCAGCATTCTGGGTTGTGCGCTCCTCAGCTGCGCTCACAGTCCTTGCCTCCAGGTCATGGCACGTCTCTGCCCTTTGTGCTTCTAAAACCACCAGCTGCTCCGAGTTTGCATGCGCTACCCTGCCACTTGGTTTCCATCTAAAGTCCTTTCCCCACTGCTACTGGTCTGTGAGTCTGTCCCTGGTCCTCAGCACAGGAGGCTATCACTCACTGGTGGCATAGGATCCCCACAGCCAGACTCCCTCCTGCTGCTGTTTATCCTCAGATATCCTCCCGCGGAATCACAGCTCCCCGCTTTGTACCTTGAAACCAACCGCCTGCGATATTCTGTTTGTAGAGATCCAGATCTATCTTCTTACATCTCAGGCTGATTTCATGGGTGCTCAGAGTGGTCTGGTAGATATCCAGCTCAATTCTGGGGGCCAGTTGGAATAGGGTCCCCTACTCCTCCACCATCTTTTCCCCCCATCATCCATAATAACTGTCTTACTGTGGATAAATTGCTTAATATATCTTTGATTCCTCACTTGAAAATGGAAAATATAATTATATTTACTTGAAAGAACTGTTGAGAGGGTAACTTAAATAATGAATATAAAGTTCATACAAGTGCTTGGAGCATGTCTAATGCTCACTATATTGAGGCTTCACTTGCTTATATGGGTTATTATGGCATATTTGAACATAATCTAACAAAATATGAAACAAAACCCATAACCTACTCTTTTCTTTTTTATTTTAAGTAATAGAAATAAGTGAAAGTAGACAAATTTTTCTTTCTGACATTTTTAATAAAATACCTGCTGACACTCCTGGAACGCTGCCATGCCTATTCATTTCCTAACTGTTTATGATGGCTTTTATGCTACAATGGCAGATGTGAAGATTCACAACAGAGACCTTAGTCCAAAAGCCTAAATAAAATATTTGTTATCTGGCCTTGCAGAAAAAATTTGACAGCCCTTCCTGTGCAAGAAAGAGTAAGGGAACGAGTTTGTAATTATAACTAAAATTCAAGATGTAATAAGAGAAAATATTGACAAAGTTTACACCATGAAAATGAAAGCAAAATTTGCATGGCAAAAAGCACCATAAGTTAAAGGACAAAAACAAACTATTAGGGAATATTTACAACCTGTATAGCATATAATGGTCAACTATCCCCAAAATAAAAATTATTTTAAAAATGGAGGTAAAACATTTAATATATCCTATAGGAAAATGGCAAAGATATGAAAAGTCTACTCATAAAAAGAAATATAAAAAGAGATCTTAACATTATACAATGTTGATGAATTTCACTTATAATAAGATAAAGTTCAATTAAACCTACTGAAATACTATATCTTACTCATAAGACTGTCAAGAATATAAGTTTATAGGGGTGCCTGGGTGGCTCAGTCATTAAGTGTCTGCCTCTGGCTCGGGTCATGATCCCAGCTGGACTGTGCCCCGAGTCAGGCTCCCTGCTTGTCAGGGGGGCCTGCTTCTCCCTCTCCCACACCCCTTGCTTGTGTTCCCTTTCTCACTGTCTCTCTCTCTGTCAAATAAATAAATAAAATCTTAAAAAAATAGATAAATTTATAATACTCTCTGTTGGTAAAGCTGTGAGAGAAAACAGGCACTCATACATTTCTGGTAAGGATTCAAAATACAACATGGGGGAGTTTGGAAATATCTAACAAATGTTCATATGCATTTACTTTTCACCTAGCAAGAATATTTTCAGAAATTTACTCTAAAGGCACAATTTCAACATTATTAAAATATATATGCCAATATTCATTGGGTAACTGCAAAATGTGAAATACATAAATATCCAGACACAGGAGATTGCTCAAATAAATGATGGCATGTACACACAATGGAGGACTATACACTGTAACATAGAAGTGAGATGCAAAATCATTGTAATTTATATATCAGAAATTCACAATTGGAAATTGAAATTTAAAAATAGTACCATTTACAATAGCAACAACTGCAATATCAAAAAACCTTTAGGATATTTAGTGAAAATTTTTCCAAAAATACGAAGGATTTGTATGCAGAAAACAATAAAATTTTAATGACAGAAGTTGAAGAAGAACTAAATAAATGGAGATGTATACCATGTTCATAGATTGGAAGACTCAATATATTGAAGATGTCAAAACTTCCCCAAAGGGTTAAGTAGAATCAGTGTAATCCCAGTGAAAATCCCAGGAGGACTTTTCATGGAAATCAATAAACTGGTTGCAAAATTCATATGGGAAGGTAAAGGACATACCATTGCCAAACCAGTTTTGAAAAGAGTTTTAACACTTACTATTAAGCCTCAATGATCAAGAAGGGGAGTATTGGT